TCATCAGGAAATAGCACACAAACCTAGGCTGAGGGTCATCTTACAGAATGTAGGGCCTGTACTTTCTAAAACTGTCAAGGTCGTGAAAGTCAGGGAAAAACGAGGCTAAAGTCTGAAGAGACATGATGACTAAATACAATATGTATTCCTGGATGGAATCCTGGACCAGAAATGAAGAGAGAGAGTGTTGGGATAGTTGATGAAATATGAATAGATTCTTTGGACTAGATAGCAGTATTGTATCACTGCTGGTATTTTGATTTGGAGGGTTATATGCTGATTATATAAGAGGGTGCCTTGTTCTTGAGAAATAGACACTGTAGTGTTTATTGGTGATGGGACACCATGTCTGCAATTCACTCCAAAAGGTTCAGAGAAAGACTATGATAATGGGTATGTATGTATGTATGTATGTATATACACATACACACACACATAAAATGCATGGAGACAGAAAGAGAAGGGCAGGCAATGGATAAAATGCAGTAAAATATTAATAGTGGTGAGATCTGAGTGAACGGATAAAGGAGTTCCTTGTATTGTTCTGGCATCTTTTGGGTAAGTATGAAATTAATTCAAAACAAGTTTTAAAAATATGAAATAAATTTGTGATACAGAACATCTGCTAGAAGAAATGATAATCAGTGATTGTGGTCAGGAAATAGAATGAAAACGTTGGCTTAATATGTATGCTAATATACATATGTACATACCTTCCTTTACAATACTGAGGGGATACATTAACAAGGAGGGCAATGTTTTTATGCCTATTTGGAGAAGAGCCTCTCAGTGCTTCTAAGTGAACTTTCCTTTCTCTTCATAAATAGGCATTTTATAGTGCAATGAGAAAGGGAATCTTGACTTACTCATCTTCATGGTCCCAGCACCTAACACATTTATAATTTAGTCATTGTTATGTATTTTAACAGGAGATCTACCCCCAATAATTGTTCTAGTCAGAAAAAATAGTCACCTGAGTATCAAGGATTGTGCTACATTCAAAGAAAGAAACTGTCTATTCAAGTTAAAATATGTCAGATTGAGAAGAGAAAAATATCAATGATTACCTTTCTCAGGAACTTGGAAGAGAAATAATTACCTGCTCTACAGTCCTAAAACAGAAGAGTGTGTAACCAGTAGCAAAACGCCTTAGCCTAAAGAATGGTAAATTGTTGACAGGTTTTGGTAAAAAAAAAACAAAGCTTAATAAGATGTTTAAAATACAAATGAGGTTTCTGGCAAAAAGAGTTAACAGTGGAAGATCATCTTTAAAAAATGTGAGAGGGTCTGAAAAATGATTAGATTGAACTGTATCAAACTGCTGATAAATCATATATCCTAATAGATGAGTAAGATCATTTTTAAATTTGAAGACATTTTTACTGCAGAAAACAAAAGGCATTAAATAGTTGTCAAAATTAAATTCAAAACATTTGAAAGCTGAATAATTATATATAGCTCAATACTCAACACTCTATTCTCCCTGCAGAATACATGCAGTTTTTACTAACTGATCCTATTGCTGAACTAAAAGAAAAAAAAGTTATATATGCCTGAAGACCACTATTACGGCTAAACATAATAAGCTTCAGAATTATCTTTTCACAGATTTAAACCCCAACAGCTGGACACTGCATTTTGATAGTATATAATTCATCTGCTTCAGAAAATAAAAGATACTAATAGCTTATGAAATTAGAATCAAATAAGCATTATGAGAGAATTAAAAATTGTTATAATTATATTACAATTTCTTTCTCTTACAGAGAAATTTTAAGGTCAAATCTTTTCTAGCATATTACAAGTAAAACAATATTCAGCATTACTATTAACAGAATCTGTGGTAAGTGGCATTTATTATGTTTATTCTTATAGAAAGGATAGGAAAAAACTTGAAATACAGTCAAGTGACTTCAAAACCTATTGAGATGTCTGTAGGCAGACAGACAGAATAAAAAATATCTAGACTGGCAAATTCAATGAAGAAAAGAATCTTAATTTATTTATTCTTGTAGTCCCAGAATCTAACAGTGCCTGGTACACACAGTAGACATTCAATAAAGGTTACTGAGATTGAAAGAGTATGAAAGTAAGTTATCTGGAAAAGAAAAAAAAAGGTTGAGGTTGTCTGAGAAATAAACTTGAGTCCAAAAATCACTATTTCCTAAGCAAGTCACTTTGAGAAAGGAAATAAAATATCTAAGCAATTTTAGAACCATGCATAGAAACTCCTCTCAGAATGACCAAGCCATTCTCAAATCTGTTTTGGTAAACGTGTCTTATATAAAGTCTAATATTAGATTGAAGTATTCAAAAATTTCATCTAAATAAACGTCCTATGCATTCTCAAAGAGGGAAGAAGTACCCAAAGACTGAGGAATCTTTCTAGTTTCCATTCAAGGAGACTCAAACAAACTTAATTCATATTTATCTATTTTTATATTATCTCTTTATATATGTACATTAGCTTGAACTTTTAACTACAAATGTGTCTTAAATACATATATTTCACTTTCACAAATTCAAGTGCGCATCCAGAAAAGGAAGAGGAAAAAAAGAAAATCCACTCTCTCAAAAGCAAGCAGTGCTAATAGGAGTACAAAACAGCAGCTAACAAACTTTTCTGCCACATCTCAACAGCCACCTGTTAGACCAAACACTGGTTTCTGAACTCTTCCATATTGAAAACTCAAAATTCCCAGTGCAATGGGCAAGGGAAAAAGTGTAAGAGAAAAGACAGTCACATCATCCCCACTCTACTTCCAAGGATAACAGGGATCAATGGACTCAAAAAAAAAAAAAAANCTGATCAATTTTATGAGACGCAAAAACCACACCCTTTGTAACAAACTAAACTGTACAGTGCTTGGTTTCTGAAACAGTCAGTACCATACATTTCCAGAGAGAGATGGAGCTACAGTATCTCTTGAGCCTACTTCAAACTAAATCTGAATAGTGTGAAAGTACAAATCAAACCACAGAACCAAATTAACTGCTGGAGGAGGTTTTGAGAACAAAACAAAAAAACATTACACACATCCACCTTTAAAAAAATGACAATCTTTCCAGAAAAAAAATTACCAAAGATACCAGTCTACATTATAGAAGAATTTACAGAATAACAAAGAACATGCAATATGCACAGTAAAAATATTGTTAAATTATGATTCACTTTCTAAAGTATCAAATGCATGAAAGCACATAAGAGATATTGTACAGTCACTGGCAGGCAGCATTGCAATTATTTTTTAATCGAATTTCTGCGAAGTTCTGAAGTGTCAGTTTAAAAAGCAAACCAAATTTTAACGACAAAAAAATGCCTAGTCCAAAATTTGGAAATACACATTGAAGATATTCAGTTAATTTTTTTTTAACTAAGAAGCAGCAGGAAGGTCACAGGCACCTTCTGTAACATCTGTAGGTGGTTGATCTAAATCGGTCAAAAAGGTCTCTGAAATTTAGGATTTAAAATAGTATCTTACCAAATATATCTGACATGATTTTTTAAAATCTTTAAAAATCACTTTAGTGTTTTTTTAAACTAAAAGAAAACCTACTGATATAAATTTTCACATCATACACGTACACACACACTTTGGAAATTAAGAACTAAATGTAAATCCAAAACAGTAAATATTACCTAAAGGTATCTAAAATATATTTGAAACATCTGCCTTCTGTTTTCACATTCACTTGTCAGATCTATAATGTAAAGCTCTTCTGGAATGGGTCTTCATTTCGGTACGACTGTTCAATATGCCATTCTGGGTAAAAGGAGTTCGTGAGACTAATTCTCAAAACCTCCTCCGGAGATGCTTAATTACAGCTCTAGTTACAATTTCCTGCGACTTCAAACAGCAACATACAGAAAACATGGCTAGGACGGGAAAAGAATGAGGGTCCAGGGGAGAGGCCCACTCTTGTTTTGGTGGCAGAAGCTGCAAAAATAAAGGTTCACTAGAGCCATCTGCACCTACCCCCACCCATCACAGCCCTGAGCACTTTCCATCCATTCGCTCAAGACCCCAGCCTTTGAGATCGGCCGAACCCGTGGTTTTCCATGTCTCAGAGGTTGGGTGGGGAAGACGATAAGGTCCGGGATGCAAACAGACAAAGGGAAGGCACAAATCCTGTAAGGACTAAAGGACAAAAAGATGCATCCAGATTGGGAGGATGGGAAGCGCAACGGCGACCAGGAGGGTTGCAAATTCGCTGGGAGAAGAGCCCCTCGGGGCAGATAGAAAATGTGGCTTGTTCAGGAATGGGGACAGACTGACAATCCTTCACTAGAGGAGAGGGACACATCCGCAAGCGACCCGGGAGCGCGTTAATTAGACAAAGCTGAACTCCGAGCCCCAAATGGGTTGAGAGCCTCAGAGATCCGTAAGGCGAGACTGAGACTTACGGTTACTTCCTGGGCTGAAGGTAAGGGTCGAGTGGACCCCGCAGCTCTGCAATTCCGCCACCGCCGTGGCAGCCCTAGCCTCTCATGCCGAGTCAGTGACCTCAAGTACCCTCCCCACCCGGGCGGGCGCCCCCTCCTCGCCTGCTCGGGTGCGCCCGCCGGGCCGAGGCTGCTGGGGCCGCGGGTGTGCGCTGGAGGCCCGCGGTGAATGCGCGGCGTGAGCTGGACGCCAAGCGGCGAAGCTCAGATTGGGCGGGCGCCCCCCATCCTTCTCCGGACGCCGCGCCGCCTCGCTCGGGAGAGAGGAAGAGGGGGCGGTGGCTCTTGCCTCCGCCTCGCGGTCAAGTCCGGCTCATGCTCCAGTCTTGCGTGCGCGCGCACCACCAGGGCCTCCCTCCTCCGCTCCCCCCCAGCCTCTGACCAAGCCGCTGGCGCGCCCGCTGCCGCCGTCACCTCAGTCCCCAAGTCAACCGCCAGCTGCCCCAGCGAAAAGCAGCACCAGCGGAAGGAGCTCAGCCACCGACCCGGAAACTCTTCCGCCGCCAACCGCGAGGCGGCCGGGGGTGTCAACCCGGAAGTGATTTCCTCGCCCCGGTAGCTGCTGGTTGGAGAGCCAAGGCCTCTGAAGATCTGGAATCGCCTATCTTCGGGGAACAGTGAGGGCTGTTTGGTGCTGAGTGCGAAGAGGCACTAGGACAGTCAAAAGCCAGCAGGCAAGAGTTTTTCTGACTCTCGTGGAGCGTGGTGGGGACAGCGGCCGAACACGCTGGGCCCCTTCTTGCTGACGGCCGAAGGTTTCCTGTCACAGGAAGTTGGGCCAGGCCGCTGGGAAAGAGAAGGGAAGGAACCATGAGAAAGCGGTGACGGCCCCCCGCCCGTAGGTGACTGTCCCATCCAGTGAGTTGAATGTAGCGGCCCGGAGGTGCTTCGCCGCCCGCACGGGCTAGACCGTTGGGTTTCCCGCACAGGTGAGACGAGGAGGAGCAAGATCCAGACTCCAGTGAAAGAAAACAGAGGTTGGAAGCCGAGCTATCTCCAGATCTAGTTTCTCCAGGCAAGGAATTTATTTCATACAAGTAGAAACCAAGAAACTAAAGACACACTGGGTGGTAGCTCTTTAAGCAAAGAGGCGTGCACATCCTTTCCGGTAGTGGACGTTGATGGGTGGTGGCGGAGGAAGAGTGTTGATGTTTGTCATTTCAGGGAAAGCGAATCACAGCTTGTCATTCCGCTGTTCTCCACCTTTCAAGACTTTAGGCTTTCTTTGCTTTTTCTCCATGGTATTTTTGGCTTCCCCAGAAATCTTTAATCTACCTGTCTTGACACAGGATCTCACCAACATTCCCGTCTCACTGTCTTGGAGAGCTTGTCTTAACAGTTTATGTTTACAAATGCTTCTCTCTGCATCTCAGTCTTGAAACTGCTTTGATGTCCTCATTTTATTTGGGAAAAACGTCAAAAACTCAAAAATGTTTTCATAACAATATAAAAACATAATTCATCTCATCATCTTTTGCTTTTAACGCCATGTTAATGTATTAGTTGGTTCTCCTTTCGAATTGGGTTGTAGATCTACAATAGCAGCTGATCTATAGCATATTTAGATTTATTACGGATGAAATCATGCTCCCCAAAACCTCCCCAAATGTACAGGGTGTTCACTGTAGGAATTCATTTGGTTACCAGCCAATTTTACTTAATTCCTTCTCTGTTTTCCAAATTTAGTATAATTGCCTTCAAAAGCTATTTGAAGATTATCAAATGTCTTAAATTATGGAATAGAATGTCACTTAGAAATAGAGTTTGAAAATTATCAGTGATGAGTGGTAGAATTGGTTAGAAACAATGAGAAAGCAAGCTGAGTAGACGTAGCACCAGTGACTTTCCTATTCTACTTTATTATTACTTACTCTTTGTATTAGTAAAAACAAATTTGAGTAGCAAAAGGATGAGGTTTATGGTCTACAAATTCCTGCAGGGAAATTCTTACTGATATTTAGTTGCCATCTCTTCTCTTTAGTGTTATAATGCTTTCAAATAGTTGTTCCAGGGGAATGGGGAAGGGGCAAAATAATTTAGCCACTCCAGTTTTTCTTCTATAAAATGGGAATAACAATAATAATACCTACTTCATGAGATTTTGGGGGAGAGTGAAAAGAGTTAATATATGTAAAGCACAGTGTCTAGCACATAATTATAGGTGTTAGCTATTCATATTATTTTAAAAGCATATTAAATGTTATATTTGGATAATGAAAGCAGTAAAAACTTGATAAATCATTTTGGCTAGAGGGGATAAAAAGAAAATTTTATCAGCGACTTTCACCTATGTGGATTGTAAAATTTTTTTGGTTTAGCTTGCTTTGGTTACTTAAATTTAACATGGGTTTTAAAAGGTTGAGAAATACTGCTTACCGTTGGAGAAAGGGGGATCTTTTTATGTCTCAGGAACACCTTAAGCATTATCCCCAATATAATGCTCCATTTTTTTGTTCTTACTGCACCTTCTGATTGTTGTTGGTCACTTCTATTACCATGTACTTTACAAACTGATAAATCATTTTGCCTGCTTGTGCTTACTAAATTTATGATACCATATTCACATACTGAATCTTCTCTTTTTCTCCATGGCAAAATATTTTAAGTTTATCCACCTGTACTCAATACAGCAAATGTTTCTTATTAAAGACTTTATTGGCATTTTGTTAAATTTGTAAGGTCTCACTACTTAGGCTGCATATCATCGTCTATGTTTAAGCATTTTCCAGAATAGAATGAGCCATATAACAAAATGCCACATATTTCCTGTACTTTAGTTGAACCCTCAACAAAAACTCAGTCTAAACATATGGAACTCTAGTTATACCTTCCTCTATTAATTTTATTTCAAGTTACTTCCAATCCCTTTGCATGTGTTTCTGCTTTATTAGTTTTGCCTTCATAAATTAGTAGTTTTTATTCTTTTCCTAACTTAAGTCTTTGTTTCCGTCTTTCATGTCACTGAAGTATGTATATTTCAAATGCTTAAGTATGAATATTTCTTGAAAATAAATTTTGAGAGTCTTTGGAGGGTATGTTAACAATAAATAGTGTAAAAAGAAAATACTATAATCCTCATGATTTTGTCTTTTTTGTTACATTTGTTTATCTTTTAAAAATTGAATGTACTAGGCAATACTAAATATTCTAGAGAGGAGTATTAAATAAAGCATTTCACTAGTATTAAATAAAGCATTTGTGAGTTGACCATCACAAAAACTGATTTGCTTTAAACTGTATTTAGGAAGCAGAATTATTTGATTTCTCTTTTAGGTACTGAACAGAAAAAAAGTTATTGCAGTTGTGCCAGATGTGGTACACAGTGTATTCACAATCCAATGTCTGTCTTCTGAAGGCTTGCAGTCTTTAAGGAAGAATGCATATATTCATAATTTGTGAGATTGTATTATCTTGAAGTTATTGTTATCTGAGGTGGAAAGTAATTTCCAAATAAAAATTCTGAACAGTAAAAGGGCTTATCCTTTTCACTTAGTATAGGGAAGCTGAGTTGCATGAGGTGGGTTTTAAAAATGACCTTATGGAAATTACTGTGTTGTATACCTGAAACCAATATAATTGTGTATTGACTATATTTCAATAAAAATTAATTAACTAGTTAATTTTTTTAAATGCTCTTATGGAAAAGCAGAATTGAAAAAAACCCCATGAGGTATGGAGAGTGAATGAGATGTCCTCAAAACTTTTTACAAAATGAAATGTCTCAATCCTAATGTTTTACAGTAGTTTCTCTGGTGAAATATCTGTAGTTTCTCTGGATACAAATCAGTGAAAATTTTTATAATTTAAAATAAAATTTAAAATTTAAATAATTAAACATTTTTGTACAATATTAATGGTTGTTTTAATCTTAGGCTAATGTTTTCTTACAATGCCAAAAGTTACTGGATTTTAAAAGAATTTCTTTTTAATGGAAGTTTCCAATTATGAGGCATTTTTTTATTATATAGGGATGTGAATTAAAGGTTCTGAAATGACTATTAATTGCAGTTGAGAAAATAGATTTAAGTTTCTCTGTCTCCTTTCAAATGACAGTAAAAAACCTTCCTTAAAAATGATCTCTTTTTATTCTATTAGCGTTGGAGCAATAGGAACTCATTAAATATGAACAGATCATTTTAATGCCTAATGGGCTTTAAAAAAACTGAAGGTTTACCTCAACATGGCCAGGAAAGAAACTCCTTTGTTGATATTCTTTTAGAAATTTGCTGACAGTAAATGAGAGGAAGCTTTTTTTAGAAAGATAAATGAAATTACAAAGATTCATTTTAGTCTAGCCACCAAAAAAATTAGAAATAGCACTTAGGAAACAGGACTATTAAACAACCAAGAGAGTGCTTAAAATTCAGTTACTTGCCGGAAATTGCCCAGTGGACACTTAAAATTAGTATGGGAAAAAAGTGTGTGTGTGTATATATTTGGAAAAAAATATTTTGGATTATCTAGGGAATTGATAATGGAAATGGAAAGTATTCTTGTTATCATGAGAAAGTTTTTATCAACTGACCAAATGTTTTTGACTCTGTGGTAGGCACCTCCAAAGAAAATGATAAATTATCTTTAGTTCATCCAAATGTAAAATATCAAAGTTCTTCCTAAAGATTCTGGAGAGAATGTCAATAGCAGCTTCCTATTTCCAGTTTCCAAACTATGAACACTATAATATTCACTTGTGTAATTCATGGGAATTAAGTGTGTATTATGCTGATTGACACTATTTCAAATGATAATTTACCTAGTATTTACAAGACATTTTATAATCCTATCACTTTTTTTAGGTTCAAAAGGTGGATTCTTATGCAATTAAGACCTATGAAAATGTGTACCCCCACTAAAAAATTTTTTACCTTTAACAGAAAAGGAAAAAGGGACTCAAAGGAAATCTTAAATTATAAGCTAATGCTTTTAAATAGTTAAGTGGTAAGATACAGTCAGTCATCTCTGGCTTGCCTTTTAGGTAATATATATATTTTAAGAAAAATTAGCATTTTATTCTTTTGTTTTTCAAGGTAATTATGTATCCTTTAACTTAATCTTTCAAGGGATTTGTTTTATAAAGCAATGGGAAATCCAGAAAACATAGAAGATGTATACATTGCTGTCATTCGTCCAAAGAATACTGCCAGTCTCAATTCTCGGGAATACAGAGCTAAGTCATATGAAGTGAGAAAAATTTTAACATTTGATTTGCTACCATTGAATGTCATTCTCCATTATCATTTTCATTTACATATAAGTCTTAACCATATCCTATGAATTTTTTTTGACAACCTAGATTTTGACAACCTAGAATTGACAGTCCTAAATCTCTGCCCATCACTGTCTTTTGTTCTGCTGCATATCTTTTGACCGTTTTTCTATTCATTGATAACATCCATGTTATTAGATATTAAAAGTCACTTGTTTGAATTTTCCCTATATAGATTTACTTTTTAGTACAATTTCTGGAAGAGCTCCTAAACTTACAAAACCATTGCAAAAACCAGCCTATTCAAAATTCCAGTGTAAACATTGCTCTTGGTTATTTCCCCAAAGAACTATGTTTAACAGTTTATTAATAATATCCTTCTACCAGTTGATTTAAAATAATCTACCTTTCATTAAGTAACTTAGGCAATTAAGTAATTTCTCTGTAATCTTGAATTATATTACATATATTAGTAAATGTGATTAAAGACAAAAAAAACCCCAGAATTATTATTTTTTTCTATACAGCAGGTTCTAAGCATCATAAATACTTAATTTATTCTTAATATATTAATTTCTCTAGCATTTTGCTTAAGTTGCTTTTTAAAGGTTAGTTATCTGAAACCTATTAAAAGACACTGCAGGGTTTCTCAGGAGTCTGCTACGTCAGCCGTGCTGTTACTTCTGGTTCTCAATCCTGGATGCACTGTTGAGGGATGTGGGAAACTTTAAAACTTCCAATACCAGGACCCTACTCCTCAGACATTCTCACTTAATAGGTCTGAGATGAAGTGGGCACTGATAATTGTTTTCAAGTTTTCCAGGTTATTTTAATATGCAGTTTGGGCCAAGAAAGACTGCTGGCTTATTATATTCTAGGGCAAGAAATTTAATTTTTAGCTTTTAATACTATTTTTCTCATCTAAGATTTTGTTGCATGAAGTTCCCATTGAAGGACAGAAAAAAAAGAGAAAGAAAGTTTTGCTAGAAACTAAACTTCAAGGCAAGAGTGAAGTAACTCAAGGCATATTGGATTATGTAGTAGAAACCACCAAACCAATTTCTCCTGCAAACCAGGGTATCAGAGGTAAAAAACTTTTCTTTCTAACAGTTTACTTTAAATGCTTATTGAGAAAGATATTTAAAATATGTTAAAATCAATGTATTTTTATGTTACTTTCCATTTTAAAAACTTGAAAAAGACTCAAAGGCTTTTTAAGGTACGTCCAAGTCCCTTCAAGAAATAACTTGACTAATTTTTTTAAGTTGGGAAATATTTAAGTAAGTCACGGTGTTACTGATTTGTTCAATAGAGAGAGGAAACCAAGAGAAAGCACAAAGTATTTTGATAGAAGTATAGTTCCCCAGATGATTATCTTTGAGCTATTGTTTTTATTTCTCTACTCCAGAACAGAGGAAACTATAAACCTTTCTATATAACTAAGTAGAAGTTAAATTCATGCATTGGAGAGAATCCTTTAAGTTACCAGTTAGCAGAGTTTTTTCTCCCCTTGGTCACCAGAAGAAGACCCTTTTCAAAGATTCAAATGGGATTGTAGAATTAACCCTGAAATCTTGAGGCCCCATTAAAAATATTAGATACTGTATAGTCTATAAAAATGATTAAAAATTAATGATCAGTTTTCTCAGGCTGTAGCTTTCCGAGGAGCAAACAGCAGTTAGAAGTTACAGAAATTATAAACTATGTCCAAGATTCAGGCATTATAATTAAAAACAAAATGCTAATTTCAGTCAAACAACAGTTGAAAATTGTTAGGTAAAGTATACCTCTCTGTGCCTACTTTCTAGTTTTTTAAAGCCTATTTAGAGTTTTCTCCTGTTGTTAATCTTTATAGAGATTGTCCAATTCATCTCTTTTGGTAGTGAGACTGTTTCTGTTGTACAGATAAGGCTGAATCCTGTGATTTAACATATTAGTTATTAGGGCTGTTTATTCTCTAAAGATAGCCCATGTATAAATCCTTAATTCATAACATAACTTTTGGAAGTACTGTTCACCATATTTTATCTCCCCAGTAGGTAACCTCCCCAATAGGGCTTGAAGGGTTTTTGTGGTTTGGGACTGTAAGCATTGTAACTCATGATTATAAGAAGCTTCTGCATAAATTCATAGATCTTTGGTACACACTTTTAGTCCCACAATCTCTTTTCCCTAATTATAAGATTGACTTTTTAATAAAATTATCTAGAAATTGATCTTGGCTAAGAAGGGGACTGTCTTTGTGGGTGATCAAGGCATGTGAAAGACTCTTTTTGGATGCCACCAATTTATGTCTTTTTTTATATCAGTCTTGGACTTCTCTGATAAATTTTCACCCAGACTTGTTTTACTGTTATTAAACTGTTATAATTCGCAGGATTTATACTGAGATCAAATTCCTGAGACAAGTCTGATTAGCCCAAATAATGTATTTTATCTGAAAATCAACAAGCCATAATTTGCTGTGAATTAGCCAAACTCTACCATTTGGTCCATTCACCCAAAAGGGGGATGGAAGTGGTGTCATGTTAACAAAATGTCCCCTGTCTCAGAGGGCTGGGTAGTTTCTCTTAGGAGAAGTTATGAGTAGACAGGCATCTTGAAACATATCTAGCACAATTTTGCCTTCTATACTTAGACAGTAAAATGTACTGATATATTTTCAGGCAGCCTTTAATAAAAGAAACTAAAATAGGGAACTTTTACTTAACTGAATAGACAATTAATAAGCCAAAGCCCATTCTGACTATCCTATTCGATTGACCTTTCTAAATGTGTGAAGTATTTTTATAGAGTGATATGATTCCTTCTCTAAGCATCACTTGAAAATCACAAATGATTTTATAGTAGCAGTAGTTATGTCTTACCTGTTTGTGCAGTGCTATATATAGTTACAAAGCATTACCACACTTATTCATGAAATTCTGGAATTGGTCCTGTGAGTTGATAAATGGTCATTTCACATCTGTAGGATGGAAATGCAGACATTACGTTGCCATCTGCTAAAATCACATTCCCATTAGTGGAGGAGTTAGAACTAGAACCCTTATTTCCCAAATTGTAGTCAGTGCTTTTATTTTTCCCCCACAACAGATCTCATAGTTACATCTATAATTTGCAAAGTTGTCAGTTAAAACAATGGATCAGAACTGGGTTTAGGGAAGCACCAAGATGGGAAAGATTAAGTGAGACAAGACCTCAAACCCGAGAAAAGAAATACTGCTTCTGAAATTTATTAGAATGTTATTCTGTATCTAATGCTTAGATTTTATACGTGTCCATTTTGTAAAATAATTTTGGGGAGGGCTATAATTATAATGGGCCATAATAATCACAAATATTGACTCTAGTATTCTGTAAGTGAAGCTGCTCGAGCTCATGTCTACCTGGTCCACCAAAGGCATACAGCCAAGCATTCCTACCTGAATCAGGAACAAGGTTCTGCAATTCTTGGGTTGGGGAGATTGAGAAGATTGATCAAAATAATGGCATAGGTATCTAGAAGATGAGAGGCTAACTTGTAGATTATTGTTTATAGCCCTCTGGCTACCAAATCAGGAAAAATAAACTCCCAATGGTGGTTGCAATTCAGAACAATAGTTTGTAGCCCAATCAGATTTTAATAAAAATTGAAATTGAGAGTGGAGGTTGAATATTAAATGAAGAGCTACTAAACTTTTAAGACTTTGTAACTTATACATACCACCCTCCTTAGCCAGCTTAGACAATAATAAAATTCTTACCATGTACATCCCAGACGAGTGAGGAAGTATATGCCTCTTTACCGTACAGGATGCCTTGCTATTCAGCTGCTCTGTCAATCCTTAACAGGACAGTTTTCCTTTCTGTGCATACACAGCTTCTTGTCTAGTGAATCAAGATCAGGACCATGAATTTACTGGCTTATTATCAATTGAATGATTTGCATTATTATCAGAATTGCCAGTTCTTATTAGGGCATATAATAAAATTGACTGTTTGTATTCTAATTCCTGTTAATGCTGTCTTTAAAATATATGTCTAATTCTCAAGGCAACTTATAAATTTAAACCCCTTATTTTTATCTTTACTGACTTTTAAAAAAATGTTTAGGAAAACGAGTGGTACTCATGAAGAAATTTCCTCTGGATGGGGAGAAGATGGGCAGGGAAGCAGCATTATTTATTGTACCATCAGTCATCAAAGGTAAAGGCTTAAGTTCTATCTTATGAGTCTTTATGTATTTTAGATGCTAAGTTAAACTATTTCCTGAGGAACTTATGAGTTCTCATTCATAGTTACTATAATACTGTTGTAAAATATATGTTTTTACATTAATAGAAGATGAAGAAATTTGTTACTTAAAGATGTTTTGATTTCAGAGTAATAATCAGCCTTCTGAACTGAACAGTAATGTTTTTGTTTGTTTTTAAAAGTAGAATGAAGAAGTGAGTAAGGAAGCCATAACTGAAGTGAAGTGTTTTCAGGTTATAAGGGATTTTTCAAAGGATCTGCTGTAGACAGGATAGAAATTAATCCTTAAGTATTTTGGAAAATTAACAGATTATGATCAGGACCTATTTTGTATTTGGGACAAGAAGGTGTCAGTAATAGTTGTAAAATATTCTGCCTAACAGCACTCGTAATATTTAAAGAACTTAGACCTAATGTGAATATTAATTTAAGCCTTTGACATCCTGGACTAACAGAAAAACTATGGAGTTGCACGGCAGATCTTGCAGCCCACACTGATTTTGTGCCCTTGGGCAAATCACTTGTTTAATTCCCAGCTCTAGTATAAAATAAGTATCTGCTCCTGCTTGGTTCATAGTGCTGAAAGACCTCATTGAGGTATCAGATGTGAAAATCACTTTGGCCTCATGTAAGGTAGTAGTAATAGTGATGATATATTAATGACCCATTGTGGACATCCCATCAGCCTGCTGCTGCCCAGTACTTACGCATATTTTTATTAGCCAGCTCTCACATTACAGATATATTTTTTTTTCCACAACCATACTTAGGTTAAAAAGTTCAGTATCTTAAATTGTGCTGGAAATCTTACTAATCAGAATTTTACAACATTGTTGAGGAAAAGAAAGAAAAAACAATTTCTGCAGTCCTCCAAGAATCCAGGTCATCTAATTCCAAGTGGATAAGTTCACAGAGTTGGCCATTGCTTGAATCCAGGTCTTCTAATTCCAAATCTGGAGCAATTTATGTTTAACTTGATAGTTTTTTTTAACATACTATATACTTTTAAATGAAAAACATGCAGTTTTCATCCTTTTATATGATGACATCATTCTTCATTTTTCTTTTTCAGATAATACTAAATATACATATACTCCAGGATGCCCAATTTTTTACTGCTTCCAAGACATTATGCGAGTCTGTAGTGAATCCAGCTCTCACTTTGCTACCCTTACAGCAAGGATGTTAATAGCCTTGGATAAGTAAGAAATGCCATTAAAAATATTTTGTAATAAAATACATGTTCATAGTAAAAATTAGCTCTGATAGAAACAGACACTTTTGGAAGAAAATAATGAAATAAATAATAATACATATTAGTAATATATGTACAATGGTAAGTTTCTGAAGTATAATATAAAAATGAAAAACCTCAAAGATAAGATTGCCCTGGTTTCCTTGCACAGTTAATTTTCTTAAAAAGTGACAGATTGTCTCCTGGGTTAAGAATTAACATTCCTTTGTACAAAACTAGATTGTGTGTTGAGTTACTCTTACCAGTGAACAAATCGTTTAACCTATCATGCCTTTGTCTTTTTGTAACAACAGAGCTACTGTTACGTATATCCCAGTGGCTCATATTTTAAAAGTACTTCATGTTTTTTGAAAGGGGTTTTTATCTTATAATGATATATGCATTTTAAAAAATAGGTTGCTGTGTTCATTAATGAAACTTTTATTGGTAATAAATGAAGAATTTATCTAACACTAGTTAAAATTACAAATAACTGAATGTAATACTAGAAAGTATCACATGTCATAGTTGGGTAGTAGTATATTTTTTTCATCTTTACTTTTGAACACATATGTCTACTATCTCTTCTTTCTATTTTACTAGGTGGTTAGATGAACGTCATGCACAGTCTCACTTTATTCCAGCTCTATTTCGACCATCTCCTCTTGAACGGATAAAAACTAATGTCATAAACCCTGCATATGCTACTGAATCAGGTCAGACAGAAAATTCACTTCATATGGGCTATAGTGCACTAGAAATAAAGAGCAAAATGTTAGCCCTAGAGAAAGCAGATACCTGTATTTACAATCCTTTATTTGGATCAGATCTTCAGTATACAAACCGGGTAAGAATTGAATTGATTTTGACTCTGATTTCCAAAGACATTTCATATCAAATGTATTTTTTTCCCAGAGATAAATACATCTATTAGTAATTGTAAATGTTAAGATGACATCCACACTTAGCTCTATTTATATATAAAGATCAAATATCCAAACCTCTTAAGGGGTTTTGTTTTTGTTTTGTTTTCCCTTTCTAGGTAGATAAAGTGGTAATAAATCCATACTTTGGTCTAGGAGCTCCAGACTACTCAAAAATCCAAATTCCCAAACAGGAAAAATGGCAGAGAAGCATGAGCAGTGTCACAGAAGACAAGTACTATTCTCATTTACTCCCCATTGTTTTTTTAAAACTTAGTATATTCTAATATTAAAATAGTTTAAAATAATACATGTAATTAGTATGCAATGCAATCATTGCATAAATGATTTAGTTTGCAGCTGCTTAGTGATATATAGCTTTCATAGATATGTCACATTTGTTTTGAAACAATTTGAATTTCAACAGTGCTATTTTGTTTTTTAATTTCTTTTTAATGATCAGGGAACGACAATGGGTAGATGATTTTCCTCTCCATCGAAGTGCCTGTGAAGGAGATTCAGAACTACTAAGCCATCTTCTCAATGAAAGATTTTCAGTCAACCAGTTAGATAGTGACCACTGGGCGCCCATTCATTATGCATGCTGGTAATGGATTACTTATTCTTTTCTTTTTAGAACAAATGAATTTTCAGTTATAAATGTTAGTGTTTCATTTCAAAACTATTCTCATTCCAGCCACTTTTTCTGTACCCTGTTTGCCTATGAGCTTTCTGTTTAGATCTTTGATTACTGTATATGTGCCACTGTTTAGAATTGCAGTGTATACACCATGGGAAGAGTATCATTAGTGTTCTTAGGCATTACAGGTCAAACAGTAGGATAGCTAATGACTAGCAGGTGTCATTGCACAGCACATGGTCCCTTATTCACCCTTGCAATCTATTGTTTTTTACTGGCATTATATTTGTTTATCCTTACTTTAAAATTTACATGTGTTAACTAACCCTTTATGATTTAACCTTGCATCATGTGAGAAAAGTATGTTTAGTTCTTTGGGAAGCTGTATTATCAGGAAGCCCCTAAAAGCCTTCATTAGAGTCACTTTTTTCTTTTCTTTTTTTTTTTTACAAGAGAGGGATGAGTTTACAGGATTGGGGTTAGCTCTTTCCACTAGTTGTGCAATGTAGCTCTAGCTCGTCTACTCTTCTCACATGATAGTTAACTCTCCCTTACATGGGCTGAGTTCTTAAGTTTGTTTTCATAGCAGTAACTAACTATTTGCTATAGGTCATCATTTAGAAAGGATATAATAAAGTTATTTACCGTTACTTCTTACAGGAAAGTTGCTTTTGACTTACTTAGTTTAAAGTGAAGTTCCCTGGCTAGTTGAAGAAGAGCCTATATTATATACTGCCTGTTCAATATCTATAAAGTTCTTAGCTTCATAACATTGAGTAAGGTACTTCACTTCACCTCTGGATCTTGTTTGTTTTTCTACATATAAAGTACATTAATTAGATCATTTCTAGAGTTACTTCCAGCTCAAAATTCTTTTGATTCCACTGATTCCAAAATTGTGATCAAGTAGCTAAATATAGTTGCTTTTAACATGCAATTTTCCTTAAAAATATGCTCCTTTAGTCTATCGTGCCTTAATTGTTTTCCCATTATAAAGAATTTTTATATCTTTTGATTTGGAAAAAGTTACCTTAAGTCTTCTTTAACTGATCTTACAGGTTTTTCTTCAGATGGCTAGTAAATACTGGCAGCAGCAGTACTGAAAGAAACCACATGCTTTACCTGGAGCTAAACAAAAAGAGGTGGAGAACATAGTTCAAACCCTTAGAAAGTACACTGTGGAATTGGGAAAGACTGAGGCAGTGAATTTTAGTTTAGGAATCCCAAATTTATATTTGGCAATTTTGTTGCTCTTTTAATGGCAGAGGATTATTTTCTCTTCTAATAAAAGATGCTAATATATTCAACTTCCTATTACATAAAAACAGAAGTATGGTATAGTATTTAATGTGCTCTGGAATGTACCTAGGTTTCAGTCCCAACTCTAAATTCTAAAAGTATGCCCTTTGGCAAATTACTAATGCCACTAAGGATCTGTTTCTTACTACAAGATGGACTTAATAATAGTACCTTTCTTAAGATTAAAGGAGAAAATGCAAATAAATTCTTTGAGACTACATGACAGTAAGCATGCAATAATGTTGGCTGTTACTAGTAAGATAACGATTTTGATGTCAAAATCTGAAATTCATTAATCCACCATAATATTTTTAATTGGAAATTTTATTGCTATGATATACCAAGGAAGAGAGTTTTAACCTTTTGATAAAATTAATTTTCTCTCAGCTGGAAATAATAACCAAGTTTAATATACCAGGAGTTGTATGGTTCACTTGTAATACTTTTAATCAGTTAGATCATTTGATGTGAATTTGAGTGAAAACTGATTTAACTATTTAGTAAAGAACTTAAATTACTTTATCTTGGAAATGTTCTCATGTTTGCTAACTGGTATAAGGATTGAGGAAAAGATTATTAGGCTGTCTCATCAACAGACTGGGATTTGGGGCCTATCTAGAAGCTTAGACAAGATGATTTACCCCTTTTGGTCTGTTTTCTCATTTTTAAAATGAGGATTTTTGTTAGATTGGTGGTTCTCAAACTTTCTGGTCCTGGGACATCTTTTCATTCTTAAAAATGACAGGATCCCAAAGGGCTTTTGTTTATATGAATTATCTTATGTTATTTACCATATTATTGCAGTATTGCATATCACATGGCCTCTAGAAAAATCCACTGTATACTTAGCAGAAAGTGAGAGTGAAAAGGGCTGATAATATTTTAGTGTTAGTATGAAAATATATTTGATTTTAGGACTCCTCATTGGGTTTCTGGATCACTCTTTGAGGACTACCCCTGTAATTGCTCCAAGCTTTTAAATTTTTTTGTTGGTGACCACATACCTAAAAATGATTTTTTTATTAGAATAACCCCTTTCCAAAACTGTCTAAATTGGCTTTTTCCTCATGGGTAACTTGTCAGCCACTCAGTAAAAGTCTCAGTGACATCCCATATTCTCTCACCTTTCAAGTCAGTATTTTCTCTCTCTGACAGTACTTTTAGACTTCACATCATTGCTAGAGAGTATTTTAGAACTATGATGATTTGGCTGCCTATAAGTTACTCCATCTGATTTCACTGGGCCTTCATTTTAGCTGTCTGTCCTCTGTCTCATTTATCCTGTAGCCTTATATTACTCCCCTATAAGCTGTTCTAAACCTTTGTACTCTTTAGCACGTAAACTCCCATTTTCTTTCTTTCTCTACTCCCATTAGATAATTTCACCTATTTTCAAAGAAAACTGAAGCCATCAGAACTGTCTTCTCTACCCCTAATGATCAGTTTTTGTTTCCATCTTTCTCCTGTATCATAGGTATGCAAATAAAATTATTTCTTGTTCCTCATTAAATTCACTCTCTTCTACACTTCTTTCCTCTTGTTTCTAATATACATGGTTGCTTCCTTGAAAACAACATTTAATTTGAACGTGTTGCCTCTTCTAGCCACTATCCTGTTTCTTTCCTTCCTTTCACAGGCAGACTTAAAAGTTAAGTGGACTATACTCACTGTCTTCTCTTTTTCACTCTTCATGAACCTGCTTAACCTTTTCTGGGTTTTTGATCTCTTTCCCTGCTCTGCAGCATTTAATACTGTTGCCCCTCTCTTCATGCTAAGAATACATTGGAGTTGAAGGGGCATAAATGGAGTTATAATGAAGATCAGTACAAATGCAAGATATTGTTATTACCTTATTATCATTATTGACGTAGTGTGGCTTCTGTTCAGAAAATGGATTCTCACTCTGGCTTGTACCCATGAGATCTTGAGCAAGTTAGTTACCTGGTTCAAGCTTCATTTTTCTCATCTGTGCAATAAAAAAACTTCTGCCTGCCTCATAAGTTGCTGTGAAGATACATGTTTAATAATTATATAAGAAAGTACCTTGAAAACTTTAAAGCATCTTATAAAATATATGTGTTAATTATTTTTATTACTTCTTGAATTGCTTCCTTATTGTCTTTCTGTCCTGAAAAATGTTTTTCAAGATGCATTTCATTGTTCCAAGATGTTTGTTTTTCTCTAAATTCTCTCTCAGAAGGATTTCATCCATTCTGCCAACCTTAACAGTAATTCTTTTAAGTTATATGAGTCTGTGTATTCTCAGATAGATATTCCAAGCCTTGGCCTTCCTCCTGCATATCAAGCTGCATTTTCAATTGCTTACTGAACAGTTTAGTCACTCATTTTTTATGTATAAGGTAGTTTGGATAATGCAAAGACACTGTCCCTACCTTTGAAGAATTTCCAGCCTGACAGATGTGTATAAATTAAGGTGAAAGTAGAGATAATGAGGTAAGTCTTGTAAACAAAGCAAAAATAAAATTCCAAAATGTAGTGGGACTATAGAAGAGGTAGATTTTAAACTGTTCCAGAGAACTACTAATAGGATTTAACCTGAATAAAATGAGGAGGGGGAAAAGGACATCTCAAGAATAGCAAAGGACATGAGCAAAAAGTCATGTGAATAAGAAGAGGTAGGATACAAGTGGTAGGTTCAGGGTATAGAAAACCAAAGAGCAAAGAAAGAAAAGTTGACAACTCAGATTAGCTCTAGAGATGTGCTATTTTCCCCTCAAATGCACCATGTCTTAGAGCAAATTTCCTCCAACCCACCCCCCTTTTCTTTACAAACAGTGAATTACTTTTCCAACATTGCTTCAGATTGCAGCTTTATATAAGTCTCTGGTTCTGACCAAATGGTGGACTCACTATGTCTGATACGTGCTTTGTGCTCTTCTGGGTCCTTGCTTTGCTTCTTGTTTTCCCCCGCCTGAAATATTTAACCTCTCTGCAACATCTCTTCAGTTGCTTCCTATTTAAAAGACAGTTTGAATTGTTTCTCTCTAAAACACTTTTCAGGACCATCTTTGACTGAAGGCAAATCTCCCTTTTTTGACCTTTTTTAAGCATTAATTATATACTATTTTTACTTGACAAATATATATAATATCTTGTTAATATCCTAAACTGTTACTTAAATTATACATTACATAACTCATCCAGTGTTTGTTTTACCTCTCTGATTACACTGTAAACCTTTATCAGAGCAGAGACCATGTAACTTAACAACATCTTTGTGTCTCCACATTGCCTAATACAGTAGCTACATTATACCATTATGTCTAGGGCCTATTTTGTAAATCACAGTCAGACCTAAATGAAAAGCATTATTAAGTTTGTTTTTTAATTACTTTGTGATTCTGAACCTATTTTTGACTGAAAATTTTATCTCCCTATTTTATTATTTTTATACTTTACCTCTTCTGGGTGGTTCTTCATCATCTGCTCTATCTTATATTTGAGGTTTCCCATTTGGTTAGCAATAGAAACAGTTGAATTGAACCATAGTAATTAATAATAGACACTGAAAACATTTACATCAATGTCTTAACCTCTTGCTCTCTACCCTAGAAAAAAAAATCTTAGATTTCTTTGAGACATCATCTAATATTTGGATTTTTAAAACATTCCAAATGCCTTTTTTTAGGTAAGTTTTATTTTTTTGTAGGTATGGAAAAGTTGAGGCTACTCGCATATTGTTAGAGAAAGGAAAGTGCAATCCAAACCTTTTAAATGGACAGCTTAGTTCTCCCCTTCATTTTGCTGCTGGCGGAGGACATGCTGAAATAGTACAGATTCTCCTAAGCCATCCAGAAGTTGACAGAGTAAGTTATTTTCCAGGTTTCATTTTTTTAGTGTTCAAGCAGTGAATAACAAGTAATGATGCTAAAATGTTCAATTGTATACTTGAGAGGTCAACTGAAAAACAACAAATTTCACTTATTATTTATAATGAATGATACATTTATGTATTAACTTTGCTTTTGTGCATAATTTTTAGATAAACAGTTCAGTTATATTAATTACATTTACTTTCTGCCACCATCACCACCATCTATCTCCCAAATACAAATAAAATGTAACTTCTTCTTGTAATACATTGTATTTCCTCAAAACTGTCTCTAAGGAGAAAGATCTTCTACCCATCTTCTAGATTTTTTATTAACAAATATTTTTAAAGGGGAAAAATAATAGCTTTAACAAAACCTTTGTTTTATCCATAATCAGAGCTTTTAAGAAACAGTCACACTGATGAGTGCTTTGTCTTTCATCTTTGACAATTCATGTTTAAGTATAGTATGTACTAAATATGGTTAATATTTAGTACTTGCCAAGTCTTATCTATTATGAAATTTAACTGATTAAGTGATATTTTCCCTTAGAATACCATATATTTGTAAAGCCTTTTTTCTTAATTTTTTTCTTTTTTCCCATATTTATAGCACATAACAGACCAACAAGGGCGATCCCCTTTAAATATTTGTGAAGAAAACAAACAGAATAACTGGGAAGAAGCTGCAAAATTATTGAAAGAAGCCATTAACAAACCCGTAAGTATCATCTTCAGAAATTGTTAGAGCTAAGCATAATATTTAAATAAGTATTTGAGGACCTGTGGCAAGCATGGAAAGATAGATGGATGAATGGCTTCTTTACTGCTTTAAAAAAAATGATGGTTAAAACCTGTAAGTAGTAAATTTATCATCTCTAACATTTGGACATTTAGTCTTGCATAACAAAATACAAAATGTATAAATAAATAAATATCTCTAACACTTTTTTATCTAATTTCCAGAATAATCTCTATTCTTGATGATGTCTGAAGTAATTACCATTGATAGCAAGAGAATTAACAATTACAAAAGACTCAGCTACGTTGAAAAGTTATAGTGGTGATAAAATTATCATGTTTTAAAATTGTTTGACAATGTACAAACTAGATAAAAGGATTTATATGAACAGATAAAGTATAAAAGTTTGATACTAAGCAGTGTAATTCTTCTGTCTAAGCTTTCCCAGATATTTTCATCAACTAGACAATAAGTATCTTTTTAGTATTTCTGTGAATTTAACACCATGAAATGCTGAAACTGACAAGTGATAAAGAGTAAATTACATGATCTTTGTCTCTAAGGAATACTACACACACACTCACCATGAACTCACAAAGATTTTGTCAAAACACTACTCCATGAGCACAAGACAAAGGCAAGGAAATTAGTAGTATAGGCACCCTGATATTATACTTCATTGCAATTTATTTTTTAATTGTATAGTTAAAACACATTTTTATTCCTTGCATAATTTTTATATTTTAAATGTATAAGATTAGAGAAATTAGGCAACTTTATCCAAAATGAACTGTTATGGAAGTTGTTTGGGTTCATCAGTTACTTCCCACAATAATGAAAATGTATTGAGAATATTACTACTCTCTGGAATTTTCTGAACTGGAGAAAAGAAACTGGCTTAAGGTCCATTACTCCATAACTTACTGTCTTAGACCACAGATTCCTTTTAGGACAAATTATTGCCTGGTACACATTTCTACAGTGTAATTTGTGGCTATTAGACTCATGAGATACTTAACTAACACACACCAGATTCAGTAACCAACTCTGTATCTCTCATATATTTACATTGTTTATTAACAGCCTTAAAACATCCTCTCAGAAAAATGTAAAGTTGACTATTTTTTCAAAACCTATTTGTCTTAGTTTCTCAAATTTACTTGACCATGGAGCTTCTAGGGGAAAGCATGTTAGAAAATATAAATAATAAAAGTAAAAATTTTAAAGATATTGCCAACAGATTCTTGCTTGAAGCAGTTATTTCTGATATTTTCCCTATTAGAAATCTATAATAAAGCATATGAAGTTGATACTAAAGCATTTTGCTAGGTTGGGATGTATTATTTCTAACCAAGATGTATAATTTATTATCATTCTTGTCCAAGTATGAAAAAGTTCGAATATACAGAATGGATGGATCATACCGTTCTGTTGAACTGAAACATGGAAATAATACTACAGTTCAGCAGATAATGGAAGGAATGCGTCTTTCTCAAGAAACACAGCAATATTTCACTATTTGGATCTGTTCAGAAAACCTCAGTAAGAAAGTTGTAACTCTGTTGTGTAAAACTCCTTATTCCTTTTTAGGAGTGGGTTGGTAAACTGAAGTATAATGTCAGTTAATTATTGACTTTTAAATTTTTAACTGATATGGTGTTCTTTATATTAATTACTAGTGTTCAAATTGCTGAAACAGTTAACGCTCTAGGGCTCCTTCTCCCCTGCTTCAGTCAAAGCATATTTTAAGTGGTAAAAACCAAAACTTTTCTTCCCTGGCAGTGAAATTTGATTTGAATGTCTTTAAATGAAGTGTTCATTCAAATTGCCTCTATTTTCAGTGCTCATTTCAAAATAATACAAATGTCCTTTTTCTTTCTATTAGTTTTCTATCAAATCTTATTTAAAATCAATCTAAAGTCACTATAGATTTGTACCTCAGAATATTGCAAACCTATAAAGGAATTAGTGGAGGTTATTGTGATGGGTTATCTAATGACTTAATTATATATTTTTTAAAACACCAACTTCTAATTGTATCATAATTAAATAAGCTATAATGGAATTAAGGATCTTCATATACATTTTATAAAATTTAAGAATTATTCTCATAATTTTTATATTCTTGGAAACAAAAGCAGTTAGCCTCAAATTAGGTAGTAATATTGTTTTAAATCAATGTTGATTTAAATTTAGGCCTTTGTGAGTATTCAGTACTTAAGTGTAGATAGTTTAATGTGAACTTTATATCTGTTGAGAAAATTGATTTATTTTTGCATTATCATTTATAAAAGGAAAGATGTTTTTCAGGCCTTCAACTCAAGCCTTATCATAAACCCTTACAACATGTTCGTGACTGGCCAGAAATACTTGCTGAATTGACTAATTTGGATCCCCAAAGGGAAACACCACAGCTTTTCCTAAGAAGAGATGTGAGACTTCCTTTGGAAGTTGAAAAAAAGGTTTGCTTGGAAATCTTATAATTATTTACACACACCGAGCCTATAGAGTTCTAATGTAGACACTAGAGGCAGAAATTGTGTTCTTCCTATACGAGGGAGTTTTACTTCTGTTTTTCTGTTGATCCTCTCATTCCTGTGCTAAATGGTAGAGTTTGAGTCCTTTTTCTTAAAAACTCCTGCTTGGTTTTCCCATTTCCATCTCCATAGTCTTAGAATACAAAAGAAATACAGAATCTATCCTAAAGAGAATTGGCAACAAAATGGGAGACAGATTGTATGGATGAAAATTTTAGAATAAATAGAAAGGAAGTACAATAGCAAAGATAAATTTAATAAAGGGCTAATTAGTATGTAAATTTCAAAAGAAGAAAGATATATTAGTGCTGGAGGTAGAACAGAAAAAATATTCTGGATGGAGAAGTTCATATTCACAAAGGGAATACATAAATTATCCTAATAGTCAATAAGTGCCAAATCAAGCAGAGAATTACATAGATAATAAAAATGAGAATCAAATTTATATTTGATAAAAAGATCTGTTCCAGAAAGCATGTTTGGATTTGAATTACTATAAATTTAAGAGGACAGGTTAAATAATGCCATCTGTAGGATGAATAAACAAAGAAGAAACATAAGGGAGATATTAAAAATTAACCTAGTTATGATAGTCTAAATACAGTGGTAGTTGTGAAAAAAGAAGTTCCAAAATATACAGTGCATTTCCTCATTCTTTTTCCAAGGGAATATTAAATAGGTAAGCAAATTTCAGTGACTAAACTTAGTAAATATTTTGTACCTGACTACTCATAGTGTCCCTCTTATATTATTACACCAAAGATAGATTTGATCCTCTCAGTCAGATATATTAGGAGTTACATAAAAATATGTATGAAATTTACCAAAAATGAAGATATTATTTATTAAAAATGTTAGAATCACATAAATAGAATGATAGAAAAACCACACGGAATAGGAATAATTTTAGGAATAAATTTAATTTCTAGGAATATAGTGGTAGCTTAATTTAACAAAAGAGGTGCAAGACCTGTGCACTGAATATTATAAAATGTTACTGAAAATAATTAAAAAACACCTAAGTAGCTGGAAAAGATCTGTGTTTTCGATAGGAAGATTTAATATTGTTAAAATATCTGTAACTAGCAAGGCAGTTGATTGAATGCAATCACTTAAACAATTCCAGCAGCCTTTTTGCTGAAATGAAAAAGGAATTCTCAAATACATGTGGAATTGCAAAGGGCCTTGAATAACCAATACAATCTTGAAAAAGAATAATAAATTTGGAGGATCCATACTTCCCAGTTTCAAAACTTACTAAAAGGCTGCAGTGATCAAAAATGTGAAAAGACAACCTAAAGAATGGAAAAAAAAATTTGTAAATCATATATCTGATAAGGGTTTACTATCCAGAATATATAAGAAGTACAACTCAACAACAGAAAGACCAACCTAATTAAAATGGTCAAAGGACTCGAATAACATTTCTCCAGTGAAAATAAACAAATGCCCAACAAACACATGAAAAGATGCTCAGCTTCCTTAGTCACTAGGGAAATGCCAATCAAAGCACAATGAGAAACCACTTGACACCTCCTAGGATTCACACTTTAAGAAGAGAATTTTAAAAAGAAACTAAACAAAAGTGTTAGTGAGGATTGGAACCCTTCTATAGTGTAGGCAGGAAAGTAAATCAGTACAGCCGCTGTGGAAACCAGTTCAGTAGTTCTTCAAAAAACTAAACAGAATTACCATACATTCCAGCAATTGCACTCTTAGGTATATAACTGAAGAATTGAAAACAGGAGTTCCAACAGATACTCGTATGCTGTTGTTCATAGCAGCATTAATCATATTACCAAAAAGGTAGAAACAAACTGACAGATGAATGGATAAGCAAAATGTGGTATATATACACAATAAGATATTATTCAGTCAGAAAGGAATGAAGTTCTGTTAACATGCCATAACATAGATGAACCTTGGATAAAGTGCAACATTAAAGTTTTAAAACTTGGAAAAAGGTCTTATGCTTTCCTTTAATGTAATTTAAAAGTACAGTGTACTGTGAAAATTTTATGAAACTCAAACTTCAGTATCCATTATATAAAATGTTACAACACTGCCACACCCATTTGTTGATGTATTGGCTGCTTTTGTACTACAGTAGCAGAAATGAGTAGTTGTAAGGGAGACCATGTGGCTTATAAAGCTTAAAATATTACTATTGGGCCTTTAATAGAAAACATTTGTCAACCCATTCTAAATCAGTAACAGCTTATTTATATACAAATGCATAACTTTTACTTTTACTTATCAGTGACAAGTTGTATATTTTTAACAGGAAATTGTAGCCTGATAATCAAATTATATTTTTTCTTTTAAGATTGAAGACCCACTAGCTATTCTTATTCTCTTTGATGAAGCCAGATATAATTTACTGAAGGGCTTTTATACAACTCCTGATGCTAAACTGATAACACTGGCAAGTCTACTGTTGCAAATAGTTTATGGAAATTATGAGAGTAAGAAACACAAGCAAGGTTTCCTGAAGTAAGTATTTAATACAACCTGTGTTCTTAATGCTATGCTCAAGATTCTGTTTAATCAAGAAAGTTTAAAAATGTTACGTTATTAAGAAATATTTATACATTGGTTTGGAATTAAATAATACAAGCCATGGAATGAGGAAAAAAACCTATGGTAAAGCATTCTTTAAGTTATATTCTCTCCAAAGTTGTTATTTTTTATATTTGACTATAGTTTGAAATATATATCTTATATGTTTTCTTTTATTTACCTTTATTATATATTTAAATAAGTTCACTAAAACCTAAATATGTAGGAGAAAAATGTTCTAAGGTAGATGCATTTAAGAATCCCACCACAAAAACTGGTTGCATGTTCAGTCTTCAAGAGAAAACACTGAATTTTTAGCTCATCTGAAGTTTGTTTATTGTGGATTTCAATTTTCAAAAGTATGTTATGCTTTTAATTTAAAGAAGAAACATTTCTCTAATTGAGAATGTTAGGATTTTGACTTTTGTGTAAAATTTTCAGAGTTCTCTGATTTTTTATAACAGATTTTTTCAGCTCAAAAATCATGTTACTTAGAGCAATTTATATCTAAATGATTATAGTACTTGAGTTATAAAAGATGATTTATTTAAACGATGTTGGCATATTTGCTTGCAGTGAAGAAAATCTAAAATCCATTGTACCTATTACCAAATTGAAAAGTAAGGCACCTCATTGGACAAATCGAATACTTCATGAATACAAGGTAAGCTGTTTGTTTAATAGAAATAAGAAGATATTTTTTAGCCTAGTCAAAATTTTGTAAATTAAATTGTTTTAAATTTTTCAATATATTTAAACATAGTTACACTAAATTTATAGTCCTGAAATTAAAATTGGATCTTTATTTCACATGTCTGAAACTGAAAGTAGCAAAATATATTTAATAACATGTAACCTTTTACTGAATACCTTCCATATACTGGATACTGTGGTAAGGACTATAGATAAAAAAAAAAAAAAAACATTAAATTACACATGGTCACTGTCCATGAGGCACTTAAAATCCAATAGAATGGGCAAATAATATTTTTAGCCTGTGATATTTTTCTTTTTTCTTAATATTAAGATTCCAAAAGAAAATTGCTCTTAGGATAATGTCACACAATTTTATTCTTCTTTGCGGGCATCTTTGATTTTAGAAACTGCTTAATTGACCTACTTTGATTATAAAAGGTACATTCTCTTTTTATATCTCTTTTTACCTTTTTTTTAGAATCTTAGTACAAGTGAGGGTATCAGTAAAGAAATGCATCACCTTCAGCGCATGTTCTTACAGAATTGTTGGGAAATTCCTACATATGGAGCAGCTTTTTTCACAGGACAGATATTTACCAAGGCAAGCCCCAGCAATCATAAAGTCATCCCTGTGTATGTAGGAGTGAATATAAAAGGACTTCATCTCCTTAACATGGAAACCAAGGTAGATAGATTTTCAGATGTTTTTTACCAATTGTATTATATAATATCTAAGTTAACAGTACCTGCCTACATGAAAAATCTAGAAATGGCATATATTTAGGGCTATTCATTTCAATTTCATTTATAATAACAAAGGATGAGGGATGAAAATTAAATGATTATCAGTAGGTGGTTAATTATATTCCTAATATAATTATATAATTGTATTATATAGTACATTTCTACATTGAAATATTATACAGCCTTACAAAAGAATGAAGAATTTTTTGTGAAAAATAATCTCCAAGATATACTTAGTGAAAAAGCATAATGTGGAACCACATGTACTAGATTACCATTCATGTAAAAATGGAGGAAATGAAGGCTGTATTTACATAAGTACATATTGCTTGTGTATGCATAAAAAGTCTCTTAAAGTCTTTAGAGAAGCAAGTCAGGTAACTGGGAACAAGAGGAGGAGAGAGACTTTTCACTATGTACCATTTTGCAGCTTAAAGAAAACTTTTTTTTAACTGTGATTATATTACCTATTTAAAAAATCAGTAGGGTTTAAATTTTTAAAAACAGATAAAAAAAGATAGAATGTGTGACATAAGGGCTTCACTTTGGAAATGAGAATTAGTTATAAGAACCTTTTGTGGGACAGGCACGATGAAGTGTGGAAGGGATTGTAATTACCCATTTGATACTTTAGAGCTTTTCAATAAGTCTTGTTTCTGAATTGTTTCCCTTTAACAAAGTTACTATAATATAAATTACAGGGTTAGCAATTATTTTTAGTATATTTTACACATTTAACAGAATGAACAACTTTCTAGTTTATAATAATAAGCCAATATAAATAAAATTTATTTTGTTCATTCAAATTTGTCTAAGAATAGACCATTTTCCAAGTCAAAGTATTACTAAGCTTATGCATTTAAAAAGGCTAAATTTTAGACTGGAAACTTTCATCATAAACCTAGTACCTTTTAGCTTCATTTTTGTAAGTCCTTCTGAAAGAGTTTAGTCATTTCATGGTGACTCAGGTACCAGCTATTTTACCATGCATTTAGGTATGCCTGTGAATGGAGATAGAGAATATGCAGGTACATAGGGCTAAAGAGGGATTTGGCTTAAGTAGGTGGAACCTGGACCTTGATTTTTTGAAGTCTCTGATGAAGAACTTGCTTTTGAGTCATTTTCTTATGTTCTGTCTATATTTTCTCACTTACACAAAATAGACTGCTGCTTCTTAGGCTGACTACTTTTCTATTTCACTTGTACTAAGTTTGATAAAGGAAATGAAGGAGAAATTCCCCTCACCATTTCAAGAAGTTTTTCCTCTGCTGTTTCAGTGCATTTTATACCAACATCTCCCTGTCCTTCAGTAAACTGGATGGTGATGCTATGGGTGTGACGACACTACACCTTTTCTCTAAGCTGTGATTTATGTTTGACTTTTGGTAGCGTTCCACGCTTATGCAACAATAAGTTTAATACAGTATCCAAATGATGTTTCAGCAATATCTTAAAACATTTCATATTATGAATAATATTCTGGTCCAGGAATCGAATAAGTGAGATAGCAGTAGCAGACAGATAACAATATTAGTAGTTAATAGTCTGCTTTTTCAGGATAAGATGTTCAATTACTAGAATTATAAATAGAAATGCTGTCCTTGGGTATACAAGAAGGTGACTGAACCAGAAGGTAACAGTGTTTTCTGTCCATCTAACCATTACCATTATCTCTGTAAGCCACTGACAAATTTATAGCACATAGGAAAGCTCTAAGATGATTATATTTTCTAACATCAAAGATGGGAACTTATCCTCAGTTGTCTTAAATTCACTGATATCTGGTAGGAGTGAATTTGACAAGCTTTCTTAAATGGAGTAAACATCTTCATCTGCAAAAATACCTTCAATTACATTTAAAACTCCATTGGATACAGTAGCTTCAGAGATTAATTCTCAGGAAAAGCCATAGAATACAACTTTGTAAAAAATATATCAATTACTTCTGCTTTCTATATCCTGTTCTCTTTGAAATAATGTAAATTGGCCATCAAAAAGTGTAGCTTGGCCAGTTCATATGCTTGTTGGACACTTGTCTGTTCTACTTATTTAAAATGTAGACTCTGCTGGACAGAGCAATGCACTGTTGCGGTTCAGTGTTTTCCTACAGTGAATGCATTGTTGTCTTCATAACTGAACTGTGCTTGTTGATCTGTCTTGAGCCATAATAGTAGCACTGCACAAACCCAGGCAATAGATGACTTTGCTGATGTCTAATTATTTTGATCATAATGCCCTGAAATAAACGGAAATATCCACGTGGTGCCATTCTTCATGGTCACTTGTTAACACCACTGTTTCTCCATCTGCTGGTCATTTATGTAGCGCTTCTAACTTCTGTGGTTTTCCCTTTTCTGCTCTGCTGTTTCTGTTGTGCTTTTTGACTTCCCTCATTAAACACCATGACCTCCTCATGAAGATTTTACCTCCTCATGAAGCTACTTTTTTCTTCTAGACTAGACTGATCTCTCAGAACTACCAGGTGGACTCTCTGATTCTTTAGTTCATTTGTTTTCCTTATTGTGGGTTTCTCAAAAATTCCTTCCTCCTTGCACATTGTTTTTTAACAACAGAACCATTATTGTTAACTTAATGGCCTCAGTACTTTTTTTTGGTAATTTGATACCCATATAATTGAGGAGTACCAACTCATGTATTTTTTCTATATATTAAACTGTTTTGAGGCCATATTAATGGACAATTTTTCTGTCTCCTGATTAAAACAAATTTCAAGTGATCCAAAAGAAAGACATTTTAAGGTGTTATGGGATCTTGACTCAATGTTTGAGTGTGCATGTTGGTAAATAGCTATTTTAGCATATTTTATCTATAAAGTTGTATTTTAAAAAATGGGTAGCTAGTTTTAAACAATAAGTTAGTAGCTTCTTGTAAATAATATACACTCATGTAAATTAATTATACTGTATTTCATTTATAGAACCTCACTTTGAAAATGCCCTTAACCATCATCTTTTTGACATAGCCTTAGTTTGTTATTTATAATCAAAATGTTAAGAACTGCTAAGTCATAGAAAGCTAATGTTTCTAAACATACATATTTTAAAAGATGCACAAACTTTCTTCATATATATGTATAAAAAGAATATATTTTTAGGGCAAGAAAATACAAGTGACTTGGAGAGAATTATTTTAAAATAATCAAAAGAATATATTGAATACCTACTTAAGTATATCATTATGTTAGAGATGTGGTAGAATAGGTCGCTCTAATACCAGTTTTAAATAGTTCTTTTGAATTTATGAAGGGTATGTTATTAATTTTTAAAATTATGCTTATTTTTCCAATAATATATCACTGTATTTATTTTCAGTGAGTTGAAATTGCCTGTCAACATGTTAATCCATTACATAAATTTCAGATTTGAAAGTAGTATGTGAATATTCAAAAGGCACTGAATAAAATGAGAGATTGTTTTTAACACACAGAGTAAAAACTTCAACGTTTAATTTTCTTGAAGGTCACTGATAGAATGGGCATCTTTTTTCCCAGCTTTTTTCAGATATAATTGACATATAACACTATATAAGTTTTAGGTGTGTAACTTGTTGATTTGATAGACATATACTGCAAAATGATAACATTAGCTAACATCTCTATCATGTCACGTAGTTATTTTTGTGTGTGTGGTAAGAACATTTAAGATCTCTCTTAGCAGTTTTCAAGTATGTAATACAGTATTGCTAACTATAACCACCATGCTGTACATTAGATCCCCAGAACTTATTCATCTTAAAACTAAAAGTTTGTATTCTTTACCCAACACCTCTTTATTTACCCATTCCCCAGCCCCTGGTAACCATCATTCTACTCTTATTTTCTGAGTTCAGCTTTTTTTGAATTTCACATATAATGTTACCTATAGTATTTGTCTTTCTCTGACTTATTTCACTTATAATGACCTCGAGGTCTGTCCATATTGAAGGGAAATAGCAGTATTTCCTTCTTTCTTACAGCTAAATAAAATGGGCATCTTTGAAATTTTTTGTCAGTGTGATACCAAGAATATCATTGCTCAAGGCTGTCTCTTGAGAGCCTGCCATTTATGTGGCTCTGTCCTGCAGGCTGTGTGACGTTGTGTGGACGTTTTGAATAGGTTTTATTCTAACATTCAAAACCGTTATGTTTAGCTTTGGCTACATAATTGTAGAAAGTAAGAGAAGATAGGTGTTGTTTTTAATATGTATTTCAATGTAACAATTTCTAATTATGTTGCAGGCTTTGCTTATAAGTCTTAAATATGGTTGTTTTATGTGGCAGTTGGGAGATGCTGGTACATGTTTTCAGATCCACAGTATGGAAAACAAAATGAGTTTTATAGTACACACAAAACAGGTAAGTACTTACCAATTATTTTGGGCTTCTAATAATGAACTACTACTGTATTAGTAAGAATTTCTTTTTCTAAAAGTGACATTCCATTTTTATTCAAGGAAAACCGACTTTTAGACTAGGGAAAAAGGGTAGGCCTTTCCTAAGTAAAGGCAGAAATGTATCTGAATAATTTATTTTAGTGTTAAAACAATGGAACTTTTTTTCTGCCATTTCCTTTAATTCTGGTCAGTATTTCCTATCTTGTCTATCAGGGTATCCTCTATCAAGTCCTTCCCTCATCTTGACTAGTATCCACTCTGAGCCACAAGTTACATCCAGTAGGTCTCTTCTTAAATCCTTTCAAAAGCCTAAATAAGTCTCCCTCTATCCTTGATAAGCTGCCCCCTCATTAGGAAATTCCTTATCAAACTGATAAAGAACAGCCCAATGCCATGTATGATATTTTTATGTTTCTTATTTTTACATGTTTACACATTTTTACTTGTTTCATATTAATGTCAACATATATTTTACTTTGTAGGCTGGCCTTGTGGTAAAACTATTAATGAAACTAAATGGACAGTTAATCCCCACTGAAAGAAATTCATGAGAGGAGAACAGCTGATACTTAAGCGACCACATTTTGTGATGCAGATTTTTTCCATGAAAGATTTATTCAACTATTACTTTTAACAAGGCATTTAGTCTCTTGTAATATATATGTATACTTCTATATTGTACAGAATCTGTACTTATGTTTGGTGTGTAATATACCAACTAGTTTTATATTATATTCTCATAAGCTATTCTAATTTTTTAGAAAAACACACAAAAGGTGTAGAAGATTGATAGTCTGTATAACATTAGATAAAATAATAACCTTTATAAAAGTTATTTTTGGTAAATGGTAAAGAATTTGAAGTGGAATGTGATGAAATTCAGCTATAGCTTTAGTATTACTGTGTCATTTCAAAATATACTGAAAGTAACATGATTTAAATAAAGAAAATTGTTTTCTACTTAAACCATATAACACTGTTTAAAACATTTTTTTTAAATCTATGAACATTTTCCAACATGTTTTTAGAAGTCTTACTTAAAATGTATATTTGGCATAAGCTGATATTTCTCAAAAGTATAGTGCTTGAACCTGCTGCATCATAATTACTTGGGTACCTCTTTAAATTAAGAATTCAGGGACTCAGTCTAGAAAATTCATTCATTCTCTGGAAGTAGCAAGACCTGGGAATCTTTTCTTAAGTTTTGGTTCATTTTCTGTTGAAATAATTTAGACCCAAAAATGAATTTTAATTACTAAAGTTAAGTAAATTACATAAAACTGCCTGGGACACAGCACACTCATACACAGACACACAGATTATGGGACAGTATCTGGATATTAGTTGCATTTATTAAGTACGTGTTCTTTATGAGTTGGCTTAATGATTTATTTATATTTTCTTTACATTATAGGAAGTAGATCACAAAATACCTGCTTGTTTCATTTAGAGAAGTACTGGTATCATAGATGGAGGAGCTAACTTGATTAATCTGCCATTTCATAATCTTAGAAACTAGTCTTTCAAGGTAGGACATTGATTATGTTCTAATAGATACAATAGTCACATTTAAAGTTATCCTATGGATTGCAGATAATTTTTCTACAGCATCATTTTACTCTTCCCATTAATTTTGCTTATTTTTAAAGGTGCTGTAAGCCTTATCAAAATTAAGATTATATGGCTAAGTAAATTCACTGACAAAGCCTGATCAAGCACTTTTGATTCTACATAAACAACGTCCTGTTCAGTGTTATCCATTCCAGTGGCCTCAACTGTTACCAAATACCCTGTTGACTCCCAAACCTAAAACTTCAGCAACTTCTCTTCTGAACTCTAGATCTTAATTTCTAATTTTCTGCTATTCTAACTCCATTTAAATGGCCTACACAAGGAACTTCTGTTTCATCAGAGCTAGAAACAGAATTTGTTTTCTCTACTTCATTCTGTTCTTCCTTTTGTATTCTCGGGTTAAAGATATCATCCATTTGCTTAGCCTAGAAATCCTAGATGGATCTTCTTCAACTTCTCCCACTTTTACCACCTTACACATTCCATTTATCGAGTCCCGTCCAGTGTTTTGTGAGTTCTTTATCATTCCCTTCCTCCCTGGTTGCACTGCAACCACCCTACTTCAAGTCCTTGCCATCTGCTCCTGGGCTCACTGTAGCTTACTCTCTGGCCTCCTCTGACTCAAGCTCCATGCCCCGCACACCTCTGCCACAGTGGTGCCAAGTTTACCTTTCTCGTAGATCTGATTATTTCATTACCTTCTGAAAACCTTTCATGGTTCCTCATTCCTCACTACCTGCAGAATTAAATTCCAGTTTCTTAGTATTGACTGTAAAGCCCCTACTACTCTAACCTGCCTATCCAGATTAATTTCTAACCATTTTGCCCATGCTCATCCTGTGCTCCAACCCCGTATTTCCTAACCCTGCAATCACATGGGGAATTTTAATATTTTACGACTCAATAATTTTAGGGTGGGACCCAAGCATTTCTGTTCTTAAGTATCCCATGTGATTCTGAAGTATAGCTAAGTTTTAGAACTGCTTTTATAGCCAATGTTAATGAAATTTTCACAGAGGAAGGTGAGGAAGCAATGATAGACTACATTAGACAACTCCCTGCTCCATAAAATGTATCCTCTTGGGGTTAACACAGTATGGCAGTCCTCTAGAGAAAGGAAGAGGAGACTATTAGAATAGATAGCTATTAAAGGCTTAAAAATATATAAAATTAAAAAGTGAATTTTCAAATACAGTACTGAGGAAAGAAAATTGATTATTATCTGTCAGACCATAAGCTAGAAGTAAACAATAGTGGAGAAATTGAACTAGCTTTTAATGAGAAATAAAACCAGAACAGCTAACACTGCAAATGATAAATGTATTAGAAAAACTTAACAAATCTTGTAAGATTAAAAGTTGCCAAAATTGACCCCCGCAAAATTAGTCTTGGTAGAAATATTTAACAAAGTAAAACTGTCCATAGTTCTTGACCAAATTAAATAGGAGAATTGCTTCAATAAAATTACATTTTAATTTGATCCTGAGAAACTCATTGGCAAAAACAGTAATTGGAAGAATTTGATGTGTGCAAAAACTGATGAATCAATTCCTTGTTTATAATTTATATAGAGAAAACACTTCCAATAAAAATAATTTCAGTAAAATGAAAAGGGAATTAATTTTTTGCTGTATTGTGTAGAAAACTAACCAAATTTAAGTTGATGTGAGTGCATGCAAAAAATACTTTCTCAACAAAAAATCCATCTATGATATGATTCTTATTTAAAGTTTCTATTCATAAAGTCAGCCTTAAGGCTATTTGGAGGACAGGGGTGGGCAGACTGAAAAGGCCCTAAAGCAAAAGAGGGTTAAGCCCTGGGGGTTCTTAGAGACCAGAGGGCTTGAGGCAAAGAAATATCTTTCAGACATTTTGGGGTATAAGTGAGAAAAGTAATTCCAATATATTGTGCTAATTTCTATGAAAGAATGAAGTGTTGGTTGTTCACAATTCCTGGAAAGGCACCAAGTGTGGGTGGGAAATTAGGGACTTACTTTCCTATTAGTTAAATAAACTTTGACTTGTGTATGATTCCTACTCATAATAGTAATAGCTAATACTTAAAGTGGTGCTTCCTATATTCCTGGCATTGTTTGAAGCACTTTTAGATATATTAATTTATTTAATCTTTATAACAATCACATGAGGCAAATACTATTTATTATTCCCATTTTACAGATGAAGAAACAGTTAAGTCACTTGCCAACCAAAACAAGGGGTGGAGCTGAGATTCATATGAAGGCAGTCTGGCTCCAGAGTATAAGTAATGACATACATGATGTATGGTTGTAATAAAAACAAAGCAAAATACTTGTTTTCTACCATTCAGAAAGCTTAGGCACCAAACTTGCTAACAGTGCTGAGAATTTTTTCATCTTTTTATATTTTAAAACTTTGAATATAATTGTGTATGGAGAGGTTATGTTACTTGTCTGAGGTCAAAAACAAGTAAGTGATGGATTCAGAATTCAAAATCTGGCAGTCTGGCTTCTGTATTTAGACAGTCAGGTAAAGTAGAAGTAGCAGGAGAGGTTTAAAAAAAAAAGGACCAAATCTTGAAGGATGTTGTTCCCTGCTAATGAGGAGTCATTGGAGGCTTTAGGACTCGACTAGCTCAGATTTATGTGAAAAGGTCACCCTGGGCCAATGTATAGAAGGGCTCAAAGGGGTCTGAGCAAGAAGGTATTAAACAATGGGAAGAAATTGAAATGGATTAATATTTTGAAAAACTCAGTGAGCTTTTGGATATAGTCATAAATTATTCCCCTCTTTCTGTCCTGGGCAACTGGGAAAATAGTATCATAAGCTGCCTTAGATAAAGAATGAAGGAAGAACATTTGAAGAAATGTGTTGAGTTCCTGGTGCCTAAGGGATATGCGCTTGGAGATGTGCCAGGCCTGCAGCTTAGAAGGCACTGCAGGAGATGTCAGCTGAAACTCCAGGAACAGATTGGAAGCCTCCCAAGAAGAGAAGCAAGCCAAAGAATAAAGAATGCCAAAGGTAGAGCAACCACAAAGCATCTTGTTAGGCAAGTGGACATCAGTATGGAAAAGAAATAGCTTGGTACCATTCTGCATATGGTGAATTCAGTATTTCATATGGGCAAAAATTAAATATTAAAAGAAAAATTAAAATATCACTAGAAAAAACAGTGGCAGCACATTCATTTATGGATTTTTTAATTGAAGTGTAGTTGATAAACAATCATATATTGGTTTGAAGTATACAACACAGTGGTTCACCAGTTACCCACATTATTAAATCCTCACCACAACTAGAGCAGTTACTATCTGTCAACATAGAAAGATGTTACAGAATCATTGGCTATAGTCTCCATGGTGTCCTACCATCCTGATGAACAACTTTATATTATGATTGAGAATTTTTGTGTCCCTTAATCCCCCACCCTTCCCCCATGGTAACCACCAGTCACTTAACAGTGTCTACGAGTCTGCTGCTATTTTATTCATTTTGTTTTGTTTTGTTTTGTTCTTGGATTCCAGAAATAAGTGAAATCATATGGTATTTGTCTTTTTCTGTCAGGTTTATTTCACTTAGCATAATACCCTCTGGGTCCACCCATGTTGTCACAAATGGCAGGATTTCTTTTTTTTTTATGGCTGAATAATATTCCATTGTGTATGTATTCCACATCTTCTTTATCCATTCATCTGTTTATGGACATTTTGGTTGCTTCTATATCTTGACTATTGCAAATGCAGCAATAAACATAGGGGTGCATATATCTTTTTTAATCAGATTTTGTTTCCTTTGGGTAAATTCCTATAAGTGGAATTACTGGGTCACATGGTATTTCTGTTTTCAGTTTTTTGAGGAACCTCCATATTGCTTTCCACAATGGCTGCAATTTACATTCCCAGCAACAGTGTAGGAGGGTTCCCATTTCGCCACATCCTCATTTATGGATATTTTTAAAATGTGTATCATGAGAGATAAGAAGTGTTTAAAATGCCTTTTAAGTGTACACAACAAAAAGGAAAGCAAGAGAGTCAGGGAATTTAGAACAACTAGATGTGATAGGAATACAAAATAGCACAACAGTTTGAAAAGCAGTTTGGTAGTTTCTAAGTTAAATATACACCTATTATAGGACTATAATCATCCATTTCTAGGTATTTATCCAAGAAACAAAAGCTTGTGTTCACATAAAAATCTGTATGAAAATGTTTATAGAATATGTTTTCCATTTTTTCATAATTAATAATGAAATGTAACTTATGTACAAAAATGTTTATAGGATATATTTTCCATTTTTTCATAATTAATAATGAAATGTAACTATTCATAATTGCCCCAAACTGGAAACAACCCAAATATCCTTCAACAGGTTGAATAATTGAATGAATAAACACTCAGGGCCATTCATACAATGGAGTGC